TTTTTTTTTTAATATTTGGAGTTTTTCCTATAGATCTAAATCTCCAGGAGTTAAAGAATAAAATACTGTAGTGATTATAACTTAAAAACCACTTTCCCTTGCTACAAAAGAACTGATAGGTACACTAATGAGGCCTGCATGTGAACTAAGCTAATTACATAGTACACTAAGTTTCAGAATATTAACTAAGAATTATATTCAATATATTCAAAAGTTTGTCTAGAATTAAGTTTCGGAATAAAAGTCATCAACTGTTCCTATTCTCTGATTTTTGACAGCGAATATATGTGAGCATAAATTTCAAATACACAATTTTCATGTTACACTGTATAGGAAAATGCATATAAGCCTTCTGAAAATACTAACGTATGAGATAAACAAAAGAAAAATTACTAATTTTTCCACACATTCTGATAATGGTAATTAAATGTAAACTAAATTCAAGACCTTATCATCATTTTTTGACAGAAAATACTCTTCTTTTTTCTTGATTATGAAACTATTAGGAAAGCCAGAAATATTAGTCTCTGTTATTTTCCTTAACAGAGAAAATGAAACCATACAAGACACTGAATTCAATTCTAAACATTCAGTGTTCTGGAGGGCTGACCAAAACAATCAACTGAAAATCACGAAGTGATTATGCAATTTGTAATTGATCCATGTTCTTTGCTTCTCTTTTTTCTACAACTCCTTTTTTTCATTCGTGACCAACTTAACAATGTATAGAGAATGAAAGAGAGGATTCAATTGACTAGTCATAGAAACATTAACTCTAAAAAAATCAACAACAACAAAAATAATGCCCTTTTCCAAAACCAAAGATTGGTCAAACTACATACTAAAAGAGGTTTACATTTTTTCTGTGACTATTGAAGTTAAAACCACCGATCTAATTTAGAGACTTGAAACTATTTTCGTGATTTATTTTTATGCCACATAGTTAACCTAGGCAAAACTGAAATTCCAAAAGTCCTGCTTCTTCAATGCATATTAAGTTAAAGGTGTTCACTATAATATAAATATGATGTAAGTATACTTTTTCCTTAAAGTTTCTACTAAAATATTTGCTTACAAGTAAGATTTATCTAAACAGTTCAACTTTTCTTACGTGATGATACTGCAACAGCAATACACAACTGTTATCCTTAGTGTGAAATAGTATATTCCTATAAGATCGCAGGGCAGAAAACAGACCACCACTATGCTAATCCCACTGGGATAGCCGACAAAAAGATTATATCATGTTAATCTTTGGCCATCAAAATAAATCACGCATCATGAATAAATTTGTCTCAAATATCCTATTTTAGGATTCTGAATATGACAGGATTATTTTATAAATGAGAAAATTATTCTATCATGATGCAATTCTGAATAGTTCCAAAAACAACTAGATGAAGGAAACATTAGGAGCATTCCCCAACTATTGAGCTTTACACATATTACTTATCCTAATTTCCACAAACCCCCTGTTAGATAAGTATAATTAACACATTTTCATAAATAAAAGATTGAGAGTATGTTCCTATCTAGGAAGTGGCAGAACCCAGGTTAAAATACAGATTTATTTTATGCCAAAATCCATATATCTTATATCAAATCTTAATTTCAGATTGTGTCTGAATCTCACTAATGGTGGGAAACAAGTCTGTTCGATGAAAATGAGAAGTTTCCATAGTTATCCTGACACCCATCTTTATGTGAGAAATGGGAAACACATATTCCTGAGTTGAACTTTGTATCATGATTTATTTCAATGGAGAATGACAAAGAAAACTTAGCATTAACCTGTTTTTGAAAAAGCTATCCTTCCTTGACTGAGGAAAAAAATTGTGCATGTTGGATGTTTATCTCTGTGTTTTTGTTCTGTTCCACTGAACTATGTCTCTCTAAGATACTACGCAGTCTTGGCTACTGCATTTAATATATAATGAGTCTTTCAAAATTGTTTTAACTATTCCATGTGAATTTTTTAAAAAAATAGTGTTTGTAAAAAAATAAATAAGTAAAAAATAGTCTTTGTATCTACAAAAAAATTGGTGGGATTTTGATAGTAACTGCGATATGTCTAAATACCAATTTGGGGACAAGTGTTACCCCTGTTACGCTGAGTCTCCAACCCATAAACATGGTATAGTCTCCATTTATTTAGACCATCTTTGATTGCTTTTACCTGTCTTTTATAGTTTTTAATGTAAAGGTAGCATATATTTATTGTTATAGCTCATATTTGAGAGTACCTCATATTTGTGTATTTAAGTATCTCATATTTGTATATTTATTTTCTGTGTCCACATGTTCACTTTTAGTAGAAATAATTACAACTAGTGTTACTGTTGACCTTGGTAAAATAAAAAAAAGAAGAATACTTAGCATTCTACTTACCCTCTCAAAATTAAATACAATTTCAACATTAGACACGTCAAATGCTAGAAAAAATTAGTATGGCTGAGTGTGAAAATTATATATCTTCTAATAGAATATAAGGACCACAACATACAATGAAACTGCTCTAAAAATTAAACTTTAAAAAATATTGAGTAAGTCAAATTTAAGTTCTTATTTAATAGAAAAGGGGGAGTTTATCTTAAGCTCTAATTACTGAATTTTCAATGGTCAGTAATAAAGTTTTCATACTGAAACATTATACTATGTTAAACTTATGAATTTTATGTAAGGATTATGCTCTAAGTCAGCAGTCAATAAACTATGACACACAAGTAAATCTGTCCCACTGCCTTTTTTTATAAATAAATTTTTCTTGAGACAAACCCGTACCTATTCCTTTATATAACTTTATATAACTGTCTTTTGCACAACACTAGCAGAGTTGAGAAGTTGAGACAGATACCATATAGCTCACAAAACTGAAAATATTTATCATCTGACCCATAGAGAAAAAGTTTGCTAGCCACAGCCATCCACCATTATTCATATTTATTCATTCATTTATGCATATATGCATTTTAAAATCACACCAACCTAAACAAAATCATGAGATCACTTAAACACCAGTTTCAAATGTTTCTCTCTTTATATATCTAGGATTGAAATTAATTATAATTATAATGGCATCTACATAACAATGTTTCCCTTTGCTAATCTGTACACTGCCAGTGTTTCCTCTTTCACTTATTCTTTCCAAAATTCTCTTTTGGAGTTTTACATTTAAATCTAAGCCAAAAACCTCCCTATCCAGTTCTAATTTCATTCTTCATTCAATCTCTTCTTTCCAAACTCTCCCCCTCTACTACATTACAATTTTTACCAGGAATATTACACAATCAAGTAAGAGAAAACAATACCCAGCAGTCAGCACCAATCAGAGTTCTACTAGCATCAAGTGAGAGAAAAGGTTCTGGATGGATCTTTTAAGGAAGCAATTTTTTCAAAGAACATAAAATCAGCTATGGTGTATTACCAGGCATAGGTACAATCAGTTAATGGACCAAACTGACAGAAAGAGAGAGAAATAGACAATGAAGAAAAATTTCTACAATTGAACGACTTCCTAAATCTGTTATGAACAGTCTAAGCATTAAGTAGTTTCAAAGTGCAAAATATAGTGATCCAAACTACAAAAGTAATAATTTTGAAATTATTAATTTGAATTAATTTGAAATTATCAAAATGTCAATATCTTTATTATATATTCATTATAAAATAAAAACAGGCAAACTTCAAACCTATACAAATTTTAATACCTACTATTAATTTTATATAGAGATCATTTCCAGTTCTGCACAAAATTTTAAAATATTATAAAATGAATTTCAATACAACCTTTTAAAATTTCTTGACAAAAAATGACTGCTTAGAAAACATTAAAGAATTTTATATGATTAAAAAAAAATGCCAGGAGAAAATACTGATTTATTCAGCTTTGAATGTGTAGAAGGGGGAAAAAAAAACTCTTCCTGCCTCAATATTAGAATGCATTTAGAAAATCATATATGACTCCCAATTTACCAGAATTTTGTATAAATCACCAGAGGAAATCAGAGATTAAAGAGAAGAGATGGTACATTAATCTCACAGGATATCCACATCCCTCACATGCCATCAATTATTTTTCTTCCTGGCTCCATTTCCTTGCTTACTTGCTAATTCAATTAAGGCTCTAATAATGATGAACTGTTCTGCACTCCCTCTTGAACTAGCCTGTTTGCCTTTGTAGACTTCTTGAATAAATTCATGAATGAAATCAAAGTGTATGTGCCTGTGAGGGGGGGAGAGATGTTGAGGATACAAGCTTTTGCTGCCAATATTTAACTTTCAATGTTCCTTTGGTGGTGGTGGGGGGGGGGGGGGGGTGATGCTATTGACAAAACTACAGAGAGAAAAGGAATCACGTAGGAAAAGCTAGTTAATGATGAAATAAAGCCAGAGATTAATTTGGAAACACTGCCGCACCAAGTAAAAGACATCTTAACAACAACAAAAAACACGTTTCTCTGTGGAAAGAGCATACCTTTCCAGCTATGGATTAGTTTCCAATATGGTGGCAGGAACACAGGCAATATGAGAGGCAGAGTTCTACATTCTTTCCTATGTGAGCAAGTAGCTATGGAATGTGGTTTTTTAATAGAATTCAGAGATTTTTAACATTACAATTAAAATATGAAGTTAACATTGACCTATTATATTTTAAATATATATAATTAAATGCCTTTCAAACTTATTAATACATTTCAATGTTTTATATAGAATGAAAAACAGCTATATATATTTTTAAATAAAATGCTGAACTAGTAGATAAAGTGAGATGCAAATGCTATTAGAGTCCATATGTCTATAAAAATTTTTTTGAGGTTTTTAAGGATTATGAAATTGTTCAGATAGCTTAAAAATGGTATGTTATTTATATTTTTTCTATCTGTGGTGCCTGAGTTTTAAATAAGAAATCATTAGTTTGGTTCCCTTTTGAAAGCAAATTTCTGGCTTCAAGATTACATCTCAGAGAACAGGAATATAAAACTCCCATACAGTTTAAAATAATATTGTTTATGAATAATATTCCAAGTAATTCACGTAAGATTCTGCATTACTAATAATGTTTTTTTCTAAATTTAGATTTATGACTCTACTTACTTACACAATAACCATGTATTTGTATTTAGAACTTCAAGAGTTACAGGATAAAAATTTTAAGTTTACTATATATTTGAAAAGATAGGCAGTATATAGAAAATAACGTTAAGTCACTTATAGTTATGGCTCTTCTTCAAATTACTCATCAAAATTGCCAGATTAGTATTTTCATAAACACACACAACTGAAATGCAACACTGATGAAAGAGAAAAAAAGGGAAAAAGTTTCCTTAGGTGAACATGTCTTGATAAAATCCTTATGTTTAGAGCAGAGAATACTGTGGACATGCTCTTGTCAGGTAATTATAAAATAGACCACTAGATGGAAGCAAAGTACTTACAGTTGGTGATGTAGCAGCGGAGAGCAAAGGTAAAATTCCTCCACAAGCAATGATGATGTTGTCTACCATTTGGGAAATGAGGTGAATTGTGTTATGTACAAAAATAATATTTTCATTGCTATTGACAAAATCCATTACAGACTTTGTGGAATGGCTAAAATAGTACAAAAACAAAACACAAGTGAACATTTTCTTAGCTTAATGCTAGTTGTAACATTTATAAAGTAAAAATCATTGCAGAGCTAGGCAAATTTAAAATGGAATTATTAGAAAAGAAAACAATGTATAATTGAGATACCATATTACAAAAAACAACATTCATCTCGGCAGGGTTTCTTTGTATCCTAGTGTATTAATTCGTTACTGGGTTTCTGCTTTAAAAATACAGTACATTAACTAGTTTCAAGACAAATTATATCAGGCCAATGAATTTAGCCTAAAAAGTATTTTCACAAAAGCTTGCTATTTTGTGTTGTAATAAGTTTTACTTATTTACTACCCTTAGGTAATTTAGAACAATTGGATAGTTAACTCCAAGTCTACCTTTCAGGTAATTTCTGTTTGTTTTATCACCAGACTGGAGCCCCACCTGTGACCAGCCATACTGACAATGTGTACTGCTAGTCACAGAAATGACATGATGGGGAAATATAAATGAATAAGTAAAAATTCAAGGACTTACTGAATTAAAAAAGGTAAAAGACCTTAAAGGTCATCAGTGCAGTTTCCCATACAAAACATGCAATGTAGATACCCAAAAACATACACTGCTTTAGTTTGATGTCTGTCGGGAATATGAACTGTTTTCTAATGGGAAAAAAGAGGTTATTCCATAATCGATTTTAAGTCAATGATTCTCACTCATCAGAATTGTAAACTATCATCTACGATCTTTTAGATGTCAAGCTGTATGACCTGATCCTAAAAATAAGTGCTTTTAAAAAATTAAGTAAAATTCTGTTTGGGGAATTTTACGAGAGCGCATGAAAACAGAGACATGTGGTATCTGTGTGTATGTTGTGTATCCATCTTATGTTAAAGGAAGGGAAGTTGAGTACCACTCATTTGAGGACTACTAATATTATAATTAGGAAGTTACACTATATATATATCTCCGTTGATGTCATGCTAACAGTAATGTGTTTCACTGTGTTCCAGTTTCCCTATTTATCATCCCCAGGTAATTTAGCATAGAACAACACTAACAATGGAAAGACCATTGTTTCTATCACATGAGTAGACTAAGGACAAACTGGTCAAATAAAATTAGAAGTAAAGGCTTTCTATAGCAGACGTCGACTTTTCTCCATAATAGTTACTCCTTCTTCCCTGCTAACACAACCTAGATTTTGTTCTATTGTTGAGCTAGATCAAGTACAGGAAAGTTTGGCTTTACCTCCGCTATGAGGTTATTAACCAGTATTGCTCTATATAGGCCAGTCATTATAATCCCATTCCCTTTTGCTGGTGATTGCCTTCTGGCATGTGAGAGGTGAGAGGAAGATTTCCTGAGGGCTTCTTTTAGAAAAGAAGAAGGGAGGGTAAGGAGCGTGACAGGGAAAAAGTAGCAGAGGAGGAGGAGGAGGAGGAAGAGGAAGCGATAGAGAAGGAGAAGAAAACGGGGAAAAGAAAAAAGAGGAAAGGGAAGAGGGAAAAAAGGGAGAGGAGGAACAAGGGGATGGAGGACGAAGAAGAAGAGACCCTGCCTTCCAGTCTGGGCAAGTTTCCAATGCTTTAGTGGTGCTAGGAGCTGAATCAGCCACCTTGAATCTTAGAAGGAAAATTAGGAGAAGCAGAGAAGTCTCCTGGAGTCCAGAGAACATCACGCCATTGATTGTTTAAGTCAATGACAGTAGGGTACTCTGTTCCAGCCATGAACTTCCTAAATTATGCGCACGCACTCTTGTAACTGCTTAATTTGTCAAATATTTGCTATTAGAAAATCAACTGAAAGTGAAGCAGGGTAATGATTTAATTTATGCAGACTGTTTTCTTTAGGTGATTATATATGAACTGATACTAACGACTTCAAGGGCAAAGGCTCTAAAAACAGATGTCATAGGTGATTTTAAATTTTAACACTATGTTATAATTTTATTACCCAGAATAAAGTTAGTATATGGTATTAATTTTAACAGAAAAAGAACAAAAAATGTGGAAGCAGCTTTGAACCAAAATTTAACCTTTTTGTTGTTGTTAAATCCCTTTTATACATAGAATAGGCAATGCCAGGTTTCAAAATTTTACTTTTTAATTGTCCTAAGTTCTTGGATACCTGTTGATTTGAGCCCTAGGCTTTATAACCTTATGAAATAAGTATATGATGAGTATATGAAATGAGTATATGAAATGAGTATATGAAAATACTCATGTTTGTATACAAAGTTTTAGTGTTAGGTTATTTTTTAAGTTTATTAATTTTGAGCGAGAAAGCGAGCGCACGCGGGGAAGGGGCAAAGAGAGGGAGAGAGACAGACGGAGAGAGAATCCCAAGCAGGCCCTACGTTGTCAGCAAGGAGCCTGATGTTGTGGGGCTGAATCCTACCGGGAGATCATGACCTGAGCTGACATCAAGAGTTGGACACTGAGCCAACTGAGCCACCCCCAGGTGCCCCATGTTGGATTATTTTTAATAAGTTCAATTTGTGAGATTTTCAATGATATAATTCACTATGGATCAGTAATTTAAAATAGTCATTTTCTTAAGTGAAAGTTGTCTTAAGAAAAGAAATATTTCTACCTCCTCCAAACATGTACATCTGTTTCTAATGCAAACAGTAAATCGGTGAGAAGTCGCTGGTGCATTGGAGACCATTTAAACTCAGGAATACGAAACATTGTGGTGCGTGGACCTGGGCTGAACTGGCGCCTCTGTTCCTCAGTCATTGGCATGCCTCGAAATCCTAGGTCAACTCGGAGATCTCTGTCTTGTTGTGTAATAGACCGGCCCTGAACAGCCTAGAGAAAGAAAAGGTGAACTTCTGTAGACTGCCAAAGAAATGCATGATTTCAAAAAGAAAACAGTAAGTATAGTCAAGTGAGTGAGGAGAGCTCCTGCATGTAACTTTGATAGGTTAATCTATTTTACACATATTATTCATCTGGCGATTCCATAGACAGAAACCTTTTTTGAGCTGAAGAGGCTACTATTATTACTTTTATTTTTCTGTTTCAAAAACCAGGCAAGGACATCAAATACCTCAAGTCTAACACCAGGGTTCACATTGAAAACCAAGTCCTCTTTACCTTTGTTTATGGAGTCTTCATATTAGATACATGTGTCCCTTACAAAAGTGAGCATATAACTAAAATTGAAGTATACGGGATATATGTCATCAACTAACTATACTTAGAAACACAAGATTAAAAAGTATTACTTGAACAGACTGAAATTAACTCAAAAGTCTATTTTACTCACAATAGTTCAATTTCGAAAAATAGTACATTTATTTGACAAGTTAGAAAACCAGAAAAATACCTACAACCTCTGAAAACCAGGCAAGCCTAGCGATTGTTATGCTCAATAAACAACGCACTATGCTTTCCTTTCATTTAAATCTTCACCTAACTCAATATCCCCACTCCCTTCCAATTACCATGGTAGTACAACCGCCACAAAAATAGAGGCTGGCAGTTAACAGAGAAAAAATAAAAATAGCTTTCCCACACACAGAATACATGTTTTGTTTGTTTGTTGTGGTTTCTTCCCCACACGGAATATGTAAGGATTGTTATTAGAGTATAAAGACACCAGAAAGGTATGGTTTACTCTTTATAATACAATTCTAATGGAAACATGTTAACTTTATCTTTGATGATATGAAACAGTGAGTGGAAAACCCAGAGAACAACCAAAAACCCAAATCACTAATGGTAAAAGTATTCTTCAATTCTTAATCATAAGGTAATTTAGCCTGGAAAATAAGGAAGTGGTCTTAAAACTCAAAGCTCCACAATTAAAATTCATATCAGAAAACATCATCTATTTTTAGCTTTACTCTGGTGAGGCCAGAAATGCAGCACTAACACTTCCTCACCACTAGGCCTAAGAATCTTTAATTTTCTCATAACGACGACTCCTAGCCACATCGTTGTAAAGAAAATTTTCACTGCTAATAAGTCCAAATTTTCTCAGCCATACCACCTACCTCACAGGGTGGTTGTGAGGATTAAATCTGAAAACATATAGCACAGTGCCTGGAACATAGTAGGCACTTGATAAATAACAGTTCCCTTTTCCCTTCCCTTTCATTTCATTTATCAGTTCAATCTGGGCTCCAAGTCCTCTTTGCTATAATCCACACAACGGGGTTGGGCCTGAAGCTTAAAAGGTTAAAATTAATCAAGTATCCAGAATGAAGATCTTGAGTACAAAATGTGTAAATTTAGTCACAGAGTCACAAAATAGGGGAACGGGTAGAGCCCTTCCAGGTCATATTTTAATCTGGTACAAACACTTGTACTGTATAAGGAAATTCAGGCCCAGAGAGGCCCAACAAAGGCACACAGACACAATGTGGTGGAGTTGGAAATATAATTCAGATATTTTAAATTTCTTGTGTATATATACTACCATAACACGTGCTTCCCAAAGTTAACTATAGTGCCATAATTAAGTATAAACATGATGTAACTGTTCGGAAATTACTCTGCCGTAGTGCTAACAACTCAGGATCTGTCCAATGCATTTTTAGAACTCACGTAGGATAACTCACTTGCGTTGTAGCAGTGGTCTGGATTTTTCGAATTTCCTTTCCCGATTCTTTGCCATCGTCAGATCTCTCAGTATCTGAAATTATACTTCCTGCATCAATATTTGGTACAATTTTGCTAGCAGATGACTCGGTTTCCAGAGTGGTAGCAGTCATTTCAGCATACTCCAACCCTCTAGAGGATGACGCTAAGTCTCTTTCAGAAATACTGCTCGTTCCATCAGATGTTGTATGGATTTTGAACTCTTTTTCTTCTATGATACTTGATGTACAACTTAAGTCTACACTACCAGTCATATGAGCAAGCAATCCAAGGTCATCACTAACACCAAGATGTACTTGTGTGTCCTGAATATTTGGAATAATGTGATTGCTAGAAAGTTCAGGAAGAAGTTTCTCCTCCTGTTTAGGTATTTTATCGAAGAGAAATGACGTACTACTATTCGGAAGTTCATCCTTCTCATCTGCTAGTGTTATCAATGGACCATTATCCTTTTCTTCATTTTTTTTAATGATACCAACACTTCCATGTACATTGTTCTGGAGTTTCTCAACAGCAGCACTATATACATTATCCAATAAAGATTCAACCTCCACAAGGGCACCATTCTCTCCACCTACTAACGTCTCTGGTGATAAATCCATATCATCAAGCTTTACTTCGGTGGCTTCTACTTTCTCTGCTTTTATATCAACCAAAAGATCGTGCACTTCCACATGCACACCACCTCCCGGTCTATCTGAATTTCCAAGAATACCATCTGACACTTTTGTCGACATGAGCAAGTCTCTAGTGTCTGTGCTGACAGGGTAATCTGTCTCACTTTCCGGGCTCTGGCTTTGTGAGAGATCTTCCATCTCTCGGATTTCCATTCCACCTTTCGCTCCTGTTGTCTGTGACGAAAGACCAGAGATGGTGCTCACATTCCCTTTTTTTCCCTTTTTAATGTTTTCCTCCTCTTGTCTCTGATATTCTTCATACATTTTGGCTAGGTATTCTTTATGTGCTTCGTAAGTGACCTTAGGAATAAGCAAAGAAAACATTAAGGCATTTCATATACATACCAAGGAGAAAAAAATACAAGTAAAGTTATGTTAATAGCGAAAATGGTATCAAAATTACGATTTCAAATGTAGCACATATTAATCTTAAGATAAGTTTCATTAATTGGAAGTAATCGTCAAAAATAGTTACATATGACTTATTTTATATACGTGTGTGTGTGTGTGTGTGTGTGTGTGTATGTGTGTGTGTTATATATATACAACGTCCAAAAACAGTTAAGTAAACTAGCAACATTAAAGTTTTAAGTGAAGTAATCTTTTCTTTTAGGTTGAGTATTTCAATGTTACTCTAACCTAATATGCCAGTTGAATTCCTACATATTTGAGTTCAGCTAACACAGAAAATTGGCTAATAATATATATAATATCCAAAGTATGACCATATCAGTTTTCACCATCTATTATTCATGTGTGCCTACTTCCAACTGAGATTTTTAAAAATCACACATATCTATAAATATGTACATTTTTAAACTGTTAAAACATCACAAATTTATCTTTATATAGACTAATGGGTTACTTTACATGGCTTGTTTAAGAATAATTATGAAATATATTTTTTCATAAAACATGAAATGTTTTTCTTATCAAGTAGTATTTTAAAATTTGTTAATGATAAAAGGTGCCAATACATTATAAAATGTAAGTTTTAACAGAAATAAAAGCTCTTCTAAAATTGAAAATAATAAAGCTCAAAATCTTTCCTTATAGGCACATATGATATTGACCTAAATGACAACAGGATTTTAGGTTGAGAGGGATCTTCCTTTGGAGATTATGTTGATACAAAAATTCCTTTATTTTACAGAAGAGGCAATCAAGTCCTAAAAGTGGAAGCTGGCTAAGTATAGCCCATGAATCAAACGTGCTTATCACCTGTTTTAGTAAGTAAAGTTATACAAGAACACAGCCATGTTCATTTTTTACACGTTTCCTATGGCTATTTTCACGCCACATGGCAGAGTTAAATAGCTGCTTCAGAGGCTGGCTGTACAGCCCCCAAGACCTAAAATATTTACTATCTGTACAGGTTAAAAAAACATTAAAAAGAACATTTTTCTAACCCCTGCACAAAAGGACTATACAAATTTCCTGAAGTCACAAAACTGAATTGTGGCACAGACTGGATTAAAAGCCAAACTTCTGACACCCACGCTTTTTCTAGGACACCACATAATGAGAAATCTTGACTCTGATTTTTCCAGAATCTAATGTGTACATAAATGTGCATGTTAACTCACTACTTTCTCTCACCAAAGATCAGGTAACATTTAAAATACAGATATATAGATTCTTAGAATTAAAAAGGAAAGATAATGCAATTAAAAATGCCACTAAACTTAAACCCTTATTCATGATTCACTTGGAAATAAAGGCAATTTCTCATTACTTTTCAGAAAGTATTTTCCAGCATGTATTTCATGAAATATTCTTTTAAGAACCAGTAGGTATGTTTAAGGTAAAAGAACTATTGGCTCAGACTCCAGCTATAAAACGTATGTGGGGTTACGTCTGGGGTCTAAAATCCCTGGTTCATAAACATGGGGTTTCAATGAAATGATCTATAAAATATTTCAAGCTCTAACAGTGTTACAGAATAGAGAGAAAATAAAACCAAAACCAGTAAAGAAAGTGGAGATAAAGGAATCGGCCATAATGTAAAATGCCCACAAGATGGCACCAGATGCGTGTTTATAGCCATTGAATCCACAGCTGAAACCCTGATGATCTAAAGTGCTACATCTCCTTACCTTGGAATGAGCTATTGAGAGTGTATCAACCCAGACTCTCCATCCTCCCCATTCATATTTTATTGCATGATACAACAGAATCCGGAAGATATTGTAGACCATCTCGGTAATCTTCTGTTCCTCAGAATTTTTAGGATTGATATAGCCAAGAGAAAACATCCAATCCTGCCACACTGAACACTGCAATAAGCATCTAGTGGGTTAAAAAAACAAACAAACAAAAAAAAAATCCCACCTCATTAAAAATACCTGAATTATATTAGAATTTACTATTTTTAAATTTAGATAAAGAGTGAAAATATGATCTGACCTAGGTAAAGCAAGATGCACAGTCATTCTGCACATTCTATATTCTATACCTGGAATGATTTTCTCCCATTTTTCTACCTGGAAAAATCCAAATTATCATTTCAAATTGGTTTCCTAACTCTCCCAGTCAGATTTAGTTTTCGTTTCTCTACTTCCTCATCACCTGTAGCACTCACAACGCACTTAATACATTACATATTAATCACTCTTTTCTTGTTATCTTCCCCATTAAATTGTGCCAAGACTGAACACGGAGACAATCTGTGTGCAGCAGAGTGCTTGATACATACCAGACATTCAATACATATTTGTTGAAGACTCAGGAAGCACCCACAGCCTTAGACTGTACCCCATGTCTTAACTAACTTAAAAATGCACCACAATAATCAGTTATCGGACAGAAACTGAGAAAAGCAGAGATGAATATGAGCAACTCCAACACAATTACAACACACAGGTATCACCAGAAGGAATGGTGCATCTTAAATACGTGTACTCATATCCACAATTAAAATATAATACCCACATGATCAAATAAAAATATAAAAGTAAGTATAATGAATGTACATTAGATCAAAGAAACATAAAATGCCTTTTCGGAGAATTACAAGTATTTAGCAATATGGGAAAGTTTTGAAAAACTTTTTGAAAGAGACTAAAAATAAAAGAGAGAAAATACGGAATAAAGCTTTGTTATAGTATTGAAATTGCTTACCTTCTATTTTCACGACTGTTACTGAAAAGTTTTATCATGTCAGATAAAAATAAACGACGAACTTCCATCAGTTCGGCACTTGGTGTAGAGTTTTTTAACAAAGTTGCCACCACCTTAAGAATCACTGTGAATACGCACACAAAAAAGTCAAGATTTACAACTGCATATCTTCCACTCAAAAACCTTTCCTCATTTTCAGCTTAGCCCTATGGTAGGTGAGTTAGAAGTATTATGAACTATGGTAAACACCATAATGATTAAGGTGGTTAGGAAAAGTTTTGATTTAGTTTCACATGTTATCATGTCATTACTGCATTAACATAAAGAATTGCCATTTGGATAGCTAAAGAAAATAAATAAACAGAAGAAATAACAAGTGTTGGTGAGGATGTGGAGAAAAGGGAACTCTCCTGCACTGTTGGTAAGAATGTAATTTGGTGCAGCCACTGTGAAAAACAGTATGAAGGGTCTTCAACAATTAAAAATAGAATTACCATTATGAGTCAGTAATTCCACTACTGGGTATTGACCCAAAGCAAACAAAAAACTAAATCTAAAAGATATATGCACCTCTATGTTCAGTGCAACATAATTTATAATAGCCAAGATATGGACGCAACCTAAGTGTCCATCGGCAGGTAAACAGCTAAAGAAGATGTGGTATTTACACACACTAGGGTATTAGTTGTAAAATGAGATCTTGCCTTTTGCAACAATATGCATGGACCTAGAGAGTACTATGCTAAGAGAAATAAGTTAGAGGGAGAAAGCCAAATACCATATGATTTGACTTACATGTGGAATCTAAACAAACAAACCAACCAAAAAACCCCACAAATATACTCAGAACTAGAGAACTGCTGGTTGTCAAATGAGAGGGAGGCAGGGAGATGGGCAAACAAAATAGGTGAAAGGAATTAAGAATTACATACTTCCAGTTACACAGTAGATAAGTCACAGGGATATATATATATATATATACATATCCTATGCTGTAGGTATAGCATGTATATATATATATATATATATATATATATATATTTTTTTTTTTTTTTTTTTTTTTTTTTTTTTTTTAGTACTATTTGCTCTGGTTCACAATTTCACTGTAGAATCTGGCTCTGGATGTGGTTTGTGTACAACTTGAGTACATACTTGCTCTGTCAAGATCTGAAAGATGAAGAATTTGAATTTCATTTAATAAATAATTTAAATCATAATTTAAAAATATAGATATACAAAGAATGAAAAAAATGTCAATTCTGTCAAAATCAAATGAAACTCTCTTCTAAGGGTCCTCTAGTCATTCTGAAACTTCTAAACTCTTTAATTCTTCAGTTTTCAAATTTTGTTTATTATGGATAAAGACAAAAACAAACCAGTATTGACAGAAGGAAAGATTAATTAGGAAATCCAAGAATTACTCTGTTTGAAATACCCTTACACTGTACATCCTTAGCAAACTTATGGTGTATAAACATTTGACTCTTATGTCATCAATTTTAAAAAACTTAGAAAGTAAGGCAATAAAAAAAATAATGTCTGAGCCTGGGTCTCACCTTCAAAATGAAGTGTGATAAAGGAAAAGTCTTCATTAGAAATGTGCTCTTTGTCATTTACTAATGAATTTTTCTTTAAACTTATTTTTTCAAATAACAAAAAAATGACAAGAAATTAACCAAATAAAGAAAAAAACAGAATTCTAAAACATTTTCTAATTTTTTCCACTAAAATTTAGCAGTCTCTATGAGTGTTGGATTCTTACACATCTTTTTCACTGTTATATTCCTAGCAATCAGCACAATGCCTGACACACTGCCAATATTCAAACATTTGTTAAATTTAAGAATGGATAACTGAATTATATATAAATAACGGACATACGGCTGTTCACTGTATTTTAGGCTTTAGCCTGTGTATACCTATTCTTGCATGAGTATAGTCCAATGAGACTATACTTAATAAGAATATAATTTTATATTACTGATTGAATTTCCTGTTTAAATTAATATGCTAAGTTCTGAATGAAACGTTCAGTTCAGCCTACAGTAAGGTACAATATCTATGGAGGAACCATGAAAGTTAGTTGAGAGCCTAGTTGTACTTAGCCATTATTATGAAAGTTGAGGATGGGGAAAGGGAATTAATTACGACCCAGAAATGATCCCTTCTGATTAGAAAAAGACCATGATATCCAGTATAGGCACTTTTCTGACCTTCTGCTCAGAAATGAGAAAGAAGAAGAAAAAGGAGATAAAGATAGAAAACTGACTTATGTATATTAGGAATGTTTATCAAAAAGGTATTGCCTTGAAATTAAAACTAACCTACCGTTACTAAAATGATAAATACAGGGTTTAAGAACCTCTCTCCTTCACGCCTATAATTGTGTTTAAACCAAACACTTTGTTGTTGAAACTGAACAGTGCCTCAGGATTTTCTGAACACTGCACTACAGACATGCACTACTAATCAGATGGAGCAGACACATGGGACAAAAATTTCTTTGCAAATCCTAGGAATTTGAAAATACCAAAGAACATTCAGTGGTTTTGTATGCATACAAGAAGTTTTCACACCAGTCTGCCCAAAAAAGCCCTGGTGTGGCCCTACAGCCCAGTGGACCACATCCCTAAAATTCTGGTTACAAACAGATTAAAAATAACTGTAGACAAGCTTGGGAAAGATCAGGCCACACTCTTCCATGATGAAGATTAGTTAAAACCGTCTCACCCCAAAAATAAGAAACCTCATTGCAAAGAAAATAATATTTATCCCAAAAAATCTACAATTTTATATT